TTGTAGAAGCTACACTGAAAAAGCAGTTACACGTCTACGATGTCTATGTTATTAGTTCATCTCAGTTACTGACATAGTAAAATCCCGTTTATTTCCATTTATAGCTTTCACAAGATCAGTTTATGATGTTATAGTTGTGCATTTATCTCCATAACAGAAATGAGTTTGTCCCGTGCTGCAAATGAGTTTGGAGTTCCTCAAGGCTCCGTACTCGGGCCTTTTTATATGTGTAGTTCATATGTGCAGACGCAATTAAATAATCATAAAAACCTTTTAAAACTTAGTTTATGTTAATACATATACGTACATTATAGTAAAATGTGCTAGCATAACAGTGTGAGTCTGAAGGATTTGAGTGCAGAATGGCGTGTTCTTTGCTTGAAGAGCAAAGGCAACTTTAAATGTTTATTAGCCATGCCAGGATCATATTTTGGTGCTTGCCTCAGCTGATTATTTTTGGGCTAAATACCAGAACCAATTGCAGGAAAATTTTCAGATCAAGGCGAACCTGATAGACTGATTTATTTACTTTTAAGGAAACATCTTATATTTCAGAGCTTAATTGCGTTCACATGTGAGGCCTGGGAGAAGGAGTGTGTATATGTGTGCATTGTTGTGGTGTGGTTTGGGTTAGTGAAGGGTGGGGGCTGGGTGGAGCAGAGTTGCGCAAGACATCATTAAGCAGAGGGTGTGTGTGTGTGCATGTGTGTGTGTGAGTGTGTGCTGGCCACACCTCTGTGGCTGTCTCCAACAGAGGGGAGTGGACTTTCCTGTCCAAAGATAAAGTCTCCAGGAAGCAGATCCTCCTGCTATAAAACTCCACTGGGAGCCTAAAACATTAATGCTACATGCCTCATATTTACTCAAGTTAAGACTGTTATTATTATTATTATTATTATCGTTATTGTACCCTTTGTTCTAACTCATTTGTGCTGCAAACAGTAACCCTGTCAAGATGATTATTTGGCTAACCCTTTGTTTGAACAGGATGCATTTGTTTTCCTCCAAATACTAATTCAGTCTGGACTCTGAATGATGATTGTTATATGTTGTAGATTGTTATATGTTTGTCTCAACAAGACAACACAAATCCTAGTGAGTGAAGGCATGAAATCAAGGGGGAAAATGTGAATATGGGAGTACGAGCAGTAGCAATGGAGGACTTTGACAAGTTATATCTAAACAAGCTGTCAGATGCAACAAATTATTCATCAGAAACGGATGACAATCTTTATTTAAACCTCAGGAAATATGAAATATTACGGTCTGTGGATCATATTGCGCTTTTTGCTGCTTGACTGCTTGTATGTGAGACCAGCACATAAAGTGGTTACTCAGACAGAAATAAGAAATGTCAGGTCCACTCTAGAAGACGTGCAAAGCAAACTTTATTCACCATAAGACTGGATTAAAGTTGTATGGTTCTAGCCCAGAGTTTTAAAAATAAGACAACTTGTTGGGATAGAGCTGCAACTAAGGACTGTGTTTATTCAGTTCTTATTATTTGGATGATTATCTATTAGAATTATTTCATCTATAGAATTCCAGAAAATGGTAAAAACAACTTTTAAAGCCTATTTAACAGATTTCAGTGGTGAGCGACCTTTCAGACGTGTGCAGATGTCTGCTTCAGAGATAAAACTTGCTGTTTGTTTAGGATTTTGACAAATTAAATGAGCTGATTGGTTACTGTTTCCAAGGTATTTAACTTGTTGACATGTTACACCTGCCTGCATTGTTTACATATTTGCCAGCTTGTCTTCTTATCTGTTTATAGTCAAATTTCTCCTTTCCTCACTATGATAATTTAAACATTTAAAGTTTTATACAGAGAAGATGGATGATCCTTTAAAAAACCATCGCAGTTCACAGATACAGCCCTGCTGAATTTATTTAGAACCTGGCTTGCTGAGGTGGGATGTTATTTTCATCAGTTACCCAGAACATTAGGACATGACGTTGGTAACTTGGCTGCATGCGTGTGCACGGATGTCTCAGCAGATAAGCTTATTTAATGAGTTAGTAGTGCAGGAAACCAACAGAGGAAATACAAAGGTTATATGTGTTTCACTGAGTCATGCTACTTTTAACAGCGTATACTGAGAAAAACGATTTAAACGAGCGTTTGTGGGATGTTTTAATGCTTTAAAAAAAGCATATTTACCTCTGCTAACAGGAAGATCGGGTCCAACGTCAAAATAGACATCAAAAGGTCAAATGGAGGTGATATGAGATGTGAAATTTTACACTTGCTTCAACTCGTACTAGCTAAATTCCATCAGAAGTGGGTGGAAAGTTGAGGAAGAGACTCCACTACTAGCCTTTTTTTTTTTCTCTTTTACTCAACTGACAAACTTTGAGGAGGAGAAAACAATGAATAGTTTTTGGCAATCAGTCAGGAATAAATGTAATCTAATGACAACCTGAAGATGCCCACTGTATAATCAGCAGTGGGTGAGGGCTCGGCATGGTGCTGCGCTGGTAGTCCGTAGGTGGTACGCAGAGCTTTCCAGAACCACGTCTGCATAGCTGTATACAGTCACTGTCAGAAATATGCGTATGAATATGCGGGCTACACTTGTTCTTGTAAGTGCTGTTGTTCATCACAGTGAGGTAGAAGTTAAATCTACTTTGAAAATCTCCTCTATGGCCTTTGCTTCCGCATCTCATTTGTGCTATTTTTTTCCCTTCCTCTTTGTTGATCTTCCCTTTTCTGTTGAAGCCGCCTTGTTAACCTATCAGGATAAGACCTAGATATGGCGTAATCGCTGCCGAGCCAACCGCCTCTGGCTTTTGAGAGTTTGTGAAGCTTCTGTGTTGGTTAAATTCCCACAATCCCCCTCTCTGCGTGGCCAAAGTGCTACGCAAATGGAAACCACTGCGGGTTCATAAATCCGGCGTTACTCAAAAGCAACTTGGCGGTAAATTTTCAGAAGAGATGAGGAGACAGTGAAATGTTGGGGGCAAGAGGAGTGAACAGGAAGATGATTAAACAATAT